TTTAAGATCTTTGAATTATCATTTAGTAGATGTTTTAAATCTTAAACCCATTGGCGCAAATACATGGCAAAAGAATCCTTTAGAAGTTCTAGAATTTGGTGATATGGCGGAATGGTAGGTCCACAAAATAAACAGGTTAAAGAGCTTTTTAAAGATACTGTCTTCATCAAACTTTTTAAGATTTTATGTAGACATTTACTTAACACAAAATGATGTGTTTTTTGGTCAAATTATATCAGATCAACTGGAACAAGAATATTTTTTTTAGGTACTAGAGATACCTATTTTTTGAGTGTTCAAAAGGTCATTCAGAAGTTACGTACCAAATGTATATTTATCTTTACTTTTGAAATTAAATGTAGACATTGATATTTTTAATGTGGAATCTGGTCACCAATGTAAATTTTGCAAAAATAAGACTGTTGTAAAGTGTTTGATAACTTAAAAGATCTAGAATCTGCTGAAATTGCTTAAATGTCATTTGTTCGTATTTCTGGTTATGTTACACAAAATGATAAAGAAAAAAGCGACACATTTTCACAGCCAACCTTACTGGCGTAAGACATGAAACAACAGGTGAAATTGCACCGAACTCCTTATCAGTTTTTTCAATTTTGGACTCAAGGTTGACCAGCGACTTGCAATACATTTCTTTATTTTATTTATAACTTACAATTTGTTAAAAATCAAAATTATATATACAAAAAAAATTTGAATTGAATAAATTTCACAAAATTTATAATAAAAATTTATCAAGTCTTCGTTCAAAGATTGCGCATTCATCATGTGAATTGGTAATGCATTTCATTCATTCGTAATACAGTTCCTAAAAAATGCTTGTCGAGACGAAGAATGCTTGACATTTTCTTTTTCAATTCTTAGACTATGACTATGATCTGTATTGTTCAATAATATGTACTTTTGTATTAGATCGCCGCGCAAACGCCTAGTCTCCTAGGTATCTATTTCATTTTTTTTTTCTTTTTTTTTTTTTTGTTCTTTAATTTTACAACTTTGTGATTTAATAAATATTCGTTAACAATGTATATATATATATATACATGATCGTTATTAAGAAATAAAAGAACGCGGGAACTCGTAGAAGACCGTAAGGTCTTGTCGTCGAGAACCGCTAAAAAATTTTCGTGTTAATATTTCGTATTAATAAAATATTCTCAAATTAAATAAACTTTCAATAGGAATATATACTTAACATACTTGAAGATAACAAATAGTTAAAAATTAAGAATTGAAAACATAAACAAATTTAAAGAAAAAAAGAAAAAGAAAAACGGTTTCGTTATAAATACATAGATGCGTTATACAGTTTTAAGATATCTTTAGCACAATTGTTAAACTTTTTGTTAAAGGTTTTGTTATACAGTTTTAAGATACCTTTAACAAAAGTGTTAAACAACTATTTACAAATTGTTAAATTATAAAATTTATTAATGCAGTGTTAAATATAAAGTTAAAAAAAGAAACAAAAAATCAAAAGAATATAGATATATCATCTAATAAAAAAATGACTTTTTTAAGTTTTTGTTTGAAAGAGTGATAGCTAACTTCTTGAGAAAAGTCAAAATTCTTTAAAACTATTTTATTCCAAAGTAATGCTCCTCGAAATAAAATACAGTATTTTCCAGAATTAGTTTGATAAGCTGATTGACGAATATTATTATCATTTCGTAAAATGTACTTAGTTTTTTCTTTTTTGTTATACAAATTATGAAAAGGTACAGGAGAAATATTGTTTTTACATTTAAACATAAAACATATAATGTTAAAAATATTAAGCTCATATATATTTAAGACTTTCATTTCAATTAATAGAGGCTTGGCATGAGTAAATCGATCCTTAAAATTAATAAGGCGTGCAACATGTTTCTGTTGACGATAAAGAAGTTCCAGTTTACTTTTATTAGTACTACCCCACGCAATGTTTGCATAGTTAATGTGACAATGAATGAGCGAATAATATAGTTTAAGTAATGTATGTTTATTTAAAAAACACCTTGCTTTGTACAAAATTTCTATGCTTTTTGATATTTTACTACTCAAATTTTTTATGTGACTTTTCCATGACAAATTTTCATCAATATAAATACCAAGAAAGTTTGTAACTGTTACTTTTTTTAGAAGTATATTATCAATAAAAAGCAGTGGCATTTCAATTGGTATAAGATTTTTTTTGTGATTTGGATGGAAAAAAATCCATTTCGTTTTATCAATATTAAGAGACAGTTTATTTGTCTTAAACCAATCAGAAATTTTTACTAGTTCATTATTGATATTCTGAAATAACAATGTAATATCATTATGAGATAAAAATAAGTTCGTGTCATCTGCAAACATAATCGTCATTAAATTTGAGGCTTTATGAAGATCGTTGATGTAAATAAGAAAAAGAAGAGGCCCTAATATTGATCCCTGAGGAACTCCACAGGTTATATCAAGCAAGTTTACTAGTGAAACTACATCAACGTATACAAATTGCTTTCGATTATTTAAATAGCTTTTTAACCAATTTAAAACACTTCCGTTTATACCGTAAATCTTTAGTTTATTTAAAAGAATATTGTGGTCTATTGTATCGAAAGCTTTAGCTAAGTCAATAAAAACCCCAACTGTATATTGGGAGTTTTCAAAAGAGTTAGTAATACTACTTGTAAACTGGAGAAGTGCGTGTTCTGTCGAGTTATTTTTTTTTGAATCCATATTGATTGCTATATATTAAATTGTTTACAGATAAATGATTATAAATTCTGTTGTATAAAATTCTCTCCAAGACTTTTGAAAATGCAGATAGAATAGAAATGGGACGATAGTTGCTAATATTAGTTAAATCACCTCCCTTAAATATCGGAATCACCTTTGCTATTTTTAGTTGGTTAGGAAAAATTCCTTGCCTAAAAGAACAAGAAAAAATCTTAAAAAGTACATCTTTAATGATTTCATATGATTTAATAACAATATTTACATTGATAATTGATAACAATATTACATTTGGATAATCGCTTCTCAAAACACAGATGTTTTGAAATTTTGTACCAGTTTGGTTGCGTTACGTTGGACCGTACTACGTTGAACGTTGTGATAAGATCGTAAGGACTTCTTGGGGCACCTAAATAAAAAATTAAAAAAACAAAAAAAGTTTGAATGTCATATTTCAAAGTAGGATTCCATACAGAGATTGCAAACTTAAGGCAAGGTTTAACTACCACTGTGTACAGAGTACGAATCATTTCCGTAATTAGATGAGTGAACTTGATGACTTTGAGTACATTCTGCGCTTTTGCTGCTGCTGTGTTAACTTGATGATGCCATTTGATGTGTGGTGAGATCAGCACGTCAAGACCACGTTTTACCATTGTTGTTTTGCCTAGTTTGTACTCAATACCATTTTCCGCACATTTAGTACATACTCACCATATCGCTACATATTGCTTTGTTTTCGTCTAATTGTTTTAGTTTATTTTTTACGTTCTCCAAATTTAACGCACTCAGTCCCAGTCAATGTCTTCATTTATTACGTTAACGAATTTCGGAAGTGCTATATATCCCTCAAACACGAAAACAGATTGAAAACTTTCACTTAGACAATTGTTTCCTTATTAAAGATTATTGCACCTGTATTGTCTCTTAACATTTCAATTTCTGTTTCAACTTTGAGTGCCTTTTCGCATTTGAATAGAATATACAAGGATCTGTCTTTATTATGTCAACAATTATTTTTTCGTACTCGCTCACTGACTTCTTTACGACTTCTTTCACATTATTCTTTGTTACTTTTAAAAATTCAATATTTTTATGAATTGTTGCTCTTAGACGACTCCACTGTGTTTTTTAGACGTATTAGTCAGCCGATTTATGTGGATCCTTTATGATACTTTTTGTTTTTTATGAGCAAAATAAATACTGATACATGCGGTTATATTTTTCGAAGAAGATTTCATAACGCTCACTTGCTTAGTTTCCTGCAAACTCTTTATCCTTTTTATTAAATTTGTTATTTAGATGCCCCAAGAAGTCTTGTCATAGAGCACTGCAGAAAAGTATTTAACCAGAAAGGTCACGCCTCCTTCTATACCATGACGCAAAATATGTCTAAAGCTCGTTTCGAACCTGGATCTCCAGCTTATAAAACAAACGCTCTAACCACTGCGCCACGGCCGCACAATCTTAGAAAAAACGTTCTAGTGCTGCATTCATTCTTGTATAATCATCTTTCCTGTAGGTGTATGATTTGTTGTGATAGCTTTCTCTTATAATGATGCTGTTTGTGATGAAACTCCAGATTCAGGCGCAGCGCCAGTGCACCGCCTGCTGTGGCTATCGCAAGGTGCCCCGCACCGCATTAACCCCCTCCTTTTTTAGAAAAACCCTTTTCAATTGGATTGTATAAATTAACATATCTAATATAATAAAATTAGTAAGTTGGTATAAATCAACATGAATCATAATTTAACATTTCCAATGTACTCAATAAATGTATGTTATATAAAACAATGTCATATAAATATATATCGCATGTAATATACAACACGTTAGGTATGAAATAATAAGTTTTCACGTTAAGGTAAACGTCAATCTAATTCTAGCCAAATTTTATAAGCGATTTAAAATTTATTTAATTTATAAGCTTTTATGAGATGCAATAAAAATTATTAACTTAAATACTTTATTAAACTCTATTAATTTTTAAACACCAAGCTGAAAATTCTTATAGGATTGAAAATAAATAAACAAAAAACTTTGTTCAAATTGTCAGAAGTAGGTTTTTTAGTAAAGGTCAGTTTTAGACTAATTGAGAGTTTGCCAAAAAAATAATTAATAAATATTTGATGCTTAAAAAGACGTGCAAAGTGGCCAGATATTGGTCGTTTTCCTCTGTATGAAAAAAACAAACAAAAAAACACAGCTGTTACGTTCGGTGTGAAAAAGTTGTGTTACACTAACTTTTTCATACCGAACAAAAACAAATTAACAAAGCAAAAAACTACTGCTTCAAAGCTATTAAGAAAATAATAAAACAGAAATATATAAAATCATTTCGTATATTAATAGTGTCTCTGTAGCTATGACAACAAAGAGTCTGTGTAATTATGATAACAATCATAGGTTTAACCATATTAAAAAAATAATTGAAAAAACCGGTATGTAAAAAAATAGCAAGCATTATTATTCTGAGTAAAAAAAAAGCATATTTAATTCATTGGAGTAAAAAAAAAAAGTATAATTAATTGATTGGAGTAAAAAAAAAGCATAATTAATTCATTGGAGTAAAAAAAAAAGCATAATTAATTCATTGGAGTAAAAATAAAAAATGATTAAAATTACTATTACTATTATTTTAGATATTATGTTAAACTATTTAATTTATGTTTTGCTAATATATTTTTATAAACATTATATATTATATAATATTTATAATTAGATACACCATCATGTTGCAGGGTCACTTTCAATACTAGAAGCCAACGAAAGATAGCGTTCTCTCAGAACGTGGGCAACCCATTTTGGTTGACGATCTCTTGTAAAAACGCCTTTTTTATTTCCATCTACACGTTTTAGATCTAAAACATTTGAGAGCAATTAGATTCACATTCACTTTCTTATTTATCATTCAATTAAGCTATTAATTGAAAATTAACAAATCAAAGCGGTATATACTTTAAATATATAACGATATATAGTTTAAATATATAAGGGTATATTTATTTATTACTTTAAACATATAACAGTATATACTTTAAATATATAACGGTATATACTTTAAATATAATACGGTATATACTTTAAACATATAATGGCAAATACTTAAAACATATACTTTAAATATATAAAGGCTTATACTTAAAAACATATACTTATATATATGTACTTTTTAACTCTCTATTTAAACAGTATTTTATAAAACTAGAATTTTATAAAATACTTTTGAAGTTAATTTCTTTCTTACAAAAAAAAATTCGGATTAGGCATAAGGGCAAGGCGACTTTTGCCGTTTTAACTGCTAAAAACCGCCAAAAAAAATAGGGATTGCAATCCCGCACACTTTTCAATCCCGCGGGATCCGCGCGGATTTTTCAATTTATGTGCGGATACCGCACGGAATTGGTATATTTCTTATGCACGTTTTAAATAGCAAAATGACAATTGTATTTTTCTTTCAAGTATTTTAGAAAAAATATACCCAACTTATTAAATTGATAAGATGAGGTAAATGAAGCCAAAAATTCATTTATAAATCAATATAATTCTTAACATTTAATGAACAAAAAGATAAAAATACGTAAAACGTCTTTTAGGTTTACGTAGAGCGTCTTTTAGCTTTACTTATTTTTAAAAATATCAAATATGAGATAATTATTGTAAGAAATGCATATATATAGCCAGCAGCTGAAAAAGCTCGCTCGGCTTCTACGTTTGCTGGTGATATGGTCATCAAGTAATTATGAGCTATATCTAGAAACTTGCCTTTTACTCTGTTACTTTTATAGGCAGACATTTCCTGCTTCAATAATTTATCAAAGTCTAGAGAATCTAAATTTAGAATCTCCTTTATTTTCTGCCCAGCTTTTCTTGTCTTTCTGTATATGATTTTCCAATTCTTTTTTCAGCGATAGAATTGTAGGAGTAAGTATTTAATAATTGTTAATAGAATCTACAGCTTCTTTTTCTTCGAGTTTATTTTCTTCGTCTTTATTTCTTTCAATTGCATAAACTCTTATCAATATATTTTTATTTCTTGACGCATAACGATTCTCTTTGGCATTTAAAAAGTATTTTCTTTTTTTTTTAATTTTTTGTTCATACTTTTTAGGATTTTTTAAGTAATCCAGTTGTCAATTTAAACTCTTATTACGACGTTGTGTAAACCTCTCACGAGGTACCGCGGCTAAATCAATGCTCAAAAGTAATGATTGTTTTGTCTAACGTTTTCATCTAACATAAATTGAAAAGTTGTTTCCGCAGTAACAAGATTCGATTCTTTTCTGCATAATAGTTCGAGACCAAAATTTAGTGGTGCCAGGCAAAAAATTAAGTTATTGATTTGGGACCATTCTTCTTAGATGAAACGAAGACTTAATAAACTTAAGCTTTTGCCATGTTCATGTAGGATATACTTCTGTAAATATGTATCATTTTTGACATGAGAGTTTTTAAATACTTCTCACTTTTTTCATGAGATCTTCGTAATTGCTAACCAATTTAGCAGTTGGTCGCTCCAAAATTATTGTCAAACCATATTCTTTATTTATAACATCATCAGTGTTCGTATGTGCATCTTCTTTTTTGCAATTTTCATTTGTAGTAAATGATTCTTTGACTTTTCCGTTGTTTTTCTTGTATAAGATATCAATAACTGTAAGTTGTATTCCATGAGCATAACGTAGTTGATGATAGCAAGACATCATTTTACCGACTTTCACCATCACACTTGCTCCATCAGTGGTCATGGCGATAATGTCTTTTTGGAGGTCGATATCGAAGCTATTTAGCCTTCCTGCAACTAACTTGACGCAATATTCTGCATTACACGATCCATAGATTCGAATCAATCCAAGATTAAAGTATTTCGCCTCCATATGTACATTTAAGTTAAGGTTATCTCTGTTCCCTACTATGTGATGTCCATTCGTCAAACAATATTGAAAACTTTTGATTTTGCTTTTTTAGTGATATAAATTTTTGCATTATATTGGCTTTTACAGAATCTGAGAATTTTACTACCATCAATCTTATAGCATTAGGTGAAGTAGGGAGCCGGAAACCACTCTTTGAAAACAAATACTGCAAATCTGAAAATGTGCAAAAACTATTAAATGTAAAGCCATCTTTAGCAACTATGTCCGATACCATTTTTTCCATAGAAATTTCTTTTACAAAAAACGTGTCTATTGTTCTGACCTTTATTGATAGAATTACATCTTTGTCTTCGCAGTCAATGTATATTTTAGACTCTAGTTTAACTGAATCATGCTGTTTTGAAGTTGAAGCTCCATCTTGTTGTAAAATGTTTGATTTTAAATCGGTCCCATGTTTAGTTTTTAAATGGATTAATATCTCTTTTGTTGATCTTTAACTAATTTTTAAACACTTCTAACACTTCTAGGTCTGCAAATAGGTTTGCGAATACTGATCATGACTCCAAGAGCTGCCAATATTTTACACATATTCTCTACATGTTACATATATTATTCATATATTACATATATATATATCTATCTATTTTCTGTAGTAATAGAATCTATACTACTTTATATAAGTTTCAAAATAGAATAATCGTAGTATGGTTATAATGGTATACCTTGTGCAGTCATGAAATCTGCAAGATTCCATATCATCTCTCCTACTAAACCCTTTCCTCTAAACTTATCAAATATTGGGAAATATCTTCGAACAGTGTCCACCTGGTACTCTTCAGTAAACATTGCAGAAGGAAGCTAAACAAGCAGAAATAAAACAAAACAAAAAATAGAAGATGAAAAAATTTTAAGCAATTAAAAAAAAAAATTCTGTTTGTAAATTTTTTTGTAAATTTTACCCTGTGAATGCCTGCAACAGCATCTGCTCCATATTCAGACATTATAACAGGTTTGTTAGTGACATTATGCCATGAATAAAGAGCATTCTCCAGTTGCATTGATATAATATTCAGATGACCTGCATCATGATACCACGCATAATAGCTGTTGTAACAAATGACATCTACATATTTTACCTAGGTGACAAAAATTTAATAAAAATAAAATAATAAAAAAATGTAATAAAAAAAAGACAATAATAAAATATGACAACAATAAAATGTAAGTATGCATAAAAATATTAAAGTGAATGAACATTTTATTTATTAGAGTAATGTAGTAAAAAAATTGGTCAATGACTATTGTATATATACTGCATATAATGCTTGTATTATCTAAATATTTTTTACAAATACAATGCATCTTTAGAAAAGTTTTTAAACTCACATATTTTAATACTTAGTGCTAAAAAATAGTTTATGCTAATAAATAAATAATTTATGCTAAAACAATTTCACACAATAGGTGTGTTTCTAAAAGAATATTTTACTTGACAATATTAAAAATCAAATAGCCATAAACTCATTTATTTGAAATTTTTTGCATGATTACTTGCGTTCTTATGTCAATAAGTGGCAATATTTTATTTTACACACCAAAAGCTTTAATGCTGGTAATAAAAAAAACAACGCACTGCTTTATCATCTAACCACATCTGATTACCAACAAAAGTCACTGGACGAGTTGGATCCAGATCACGTACGTGATCAATCACTGATCTAGATAAAAAAAGTTGTCATTTTATTAGTTTCAACAAATAAATGATTTCCAAAATGAATTTGAACAAAAAAAATAAAACTTAAATATTGTTCAAATTAAATTAAACCTCTAAAAATTCCCAAATTTGTTAATTATATCAATTTCAAATATGTGCAAGAAATACACTTCTATTAAATGGTGAAATATTATTAAAATGACTTACTAAATATTAATACCAAACTTTAATAAATATCATTCACAACAGTTAAAAATTTATCTTCATAAAAAAATTAAAATAAAAATAACTAACTTAAAGTAACCATCAGCTTCGCTGAACTGAGACTGTGGTTCATTAGCAACAGACCACATTACAACAGAAGGATGATTTTTATCTCGGTTTATAAGCTCCTTCATAACTTCATTATGATGTTTTAAACTTTCTTGCCCCATGTTATTTCTAAACATATAATATTATATATATATATATATATATATATATATATATATATATATTTATATATACATATATACATATACACACACACGCATATATATATATATATATATATATATATATATATATATATATATATATATATATATATATATATATATATATATATATATATATATATATATATATATATATATATATATAAAGATATATATATATATATATATATATATATATATATATATATATATATATATATATATATTATATATATATATATATATATATATATATATATATATATATATATATATATATATATATAAAGAGAGAGAGAGAGAGATTTATCATTTTTACAGTTTTTTGTCTACAGTAGTTTAATAACTAGATTGCATTTTATTTAAATATAACGCTAATTTATAATAGAAATATTATTTAAAATTTTTAGTTATATTTAAAATAAAGGTGATTTTAAGTTCTTCAACATGCAAGAGTAAAGAGCCATTTTGATAAATGCAGAAGAAAAACGAAAGTGCTAATGATTCCACTGAATTTTTTAGCAATGTATCAGTTTTAGAGTCAAGGACGCCTACATCTACAGCATCAAATAAATCCATTAAAAAGATGTTCAGAATCAAGTTCAGAAGATGAAGATGTTTAAAATCAAGTTCAGAAAATAAAGAGCAAGATCACTTAAGCCTTATTAATTTTTTTCTATTCTTTAATTTTTCCTTCAACTTTTATACTTTATTCAATGGATTATTCCCTAATATTTTAAAAATTGGATCTGTTAAACTGATTAAAAAATAAAGACTCAAAATTTGACTACTATAACTATAGGCCAAAATAATAATTATCAAATAACAATAAAATTCTTGAAAAAATGTATTCTACCACTTCCTTGATAATTCTAAGTTTTTTTATGACTGCCAGTTCAGATTTGGTTTAAAACACTCTACTTCCCATGTTCTTATTAGCATTAATTAAATGATTTGTGGTGTGATTGCTAGTGATTCTCTCTTTTGTGGTGTCTTTATTGATCTCCAAAAAGCTTTTGATACAGTTGACCGCATGATTTTTACCAATATGGTATACAGAGTATCGCTAATGATTACTTTTCATTATATATTCAAAATTGTACTTAGTCTTTATTAATGAGTTTAAATCCACAAATAAAGTTATTAAGTATGGTGCCCCACAGGGTTTTGTTCTAGGGCCATTATTCTTTTTAATATATATTAACAATCTGCCTTACTCTTTAAATAATTCAACTGTTTATCATTTTGCTGACAAAACTAATATTCTATGGATTAATAAATCACTATGGATTAATAAATCACTAAAGCCAGGTCTCTATCATTTGTATCATTGGTTAAATATTAACCTTATATCTATAAATATCAATAAAACTGAATTTATTATTTTTCACCCTCCATAAAAAAAGATTGATAATGATAATATGAAAATTAGAATTAACAGTAAAAGACTTTTCTCATCTAAATATATAAAATATGTAGGAGTATTTCTTGACAAAAACCTATCATGGTACTATCAACTAATTTAATTAAATAAAAAACTTTCATGTGCCAATATTATTTTTCATTAATATGACACAATGCTTCCCAACATATTCTAATACCAATTTACTATTTATTGTTCTCCTCCCATCTAAGCTATTGTTGTATAGTTTGAGGTCAAAAAGTTAGTTTCCTATTAAATCATATAAACACTTTACAACATACTTCCATAAGAACTTTGACATTTTCTCTTTAACGATCGAATATCCAAAATAGGTTTTCTGATTTAAAAATTCTAAAACTTCAAGATCTTGTAAAGCTTTACAACTGTCTCTTTGTGTTTGATTTTCTTCAGAACAATCTACCAAATTCATTTAATGATTTTTTTTTAAAGCAAATGATTCACATAAATATTTCACTCGAAATACTGAAAATAATATTTTCAAATAATATTTTCAAAATATATTTTTTAGATAAAGAATTGCCAATATTTTATTGAAAAAACAAGGCCTAATATTATCATAAAATAGATTTTCAAAAAAATCAGATTTTAGATTTTTTTTTTTTAAACAATTTTTTGTTACTATTTTTTTAAAATCTTTATTTCATTTGCCTCCTTTGGAGACTTATTTAACTCTTTTCCAAATAAAGTTGGGGTAGGAATATTTTGGTCAATTTATAAAAGTTTGAATCAATACATAAAGGAACAACTAGCGCATGTTACAGCTTTTTAACTTTAAAAATATAGTTTTCAACCCACTTTAATATATATATACACAAATATTTTTTTGTACATAACCATGCATAAAGCATCATTAATGATGCCAGATTAAAATAACCATCCGCAGGGGCTTTACTACATACATCAACTAAAGGTTTAGCCAGATGCAATCTAGATATTAAAGACTTTAATCACAGTAAAGAAAAAATAGTTTTTTCTATACTGTGATTTTCTTTACTATGAAATCCTTTATCTGGATTTAAGTCAGCATTTTCAAATCTAAAGCATGCAAGGACAGTGCCAATCTAAATCCATAAATCCATAAAAGTAAGTGTATATATATATATATATATATATATATATATATATATATATATATATATATATATATATATATATATATATATATATATATATATATATATATATATATATATATATATATATATATATATATATATTGATGCACAATTATACTTTATTGTTATACCTATATACTATATATTCACCTCTGAATACCAACACCAGGAGATTCATCTATAACCACTAGCCCCAAACGGTCTGCTAAATCCATAGTCTCATCTGCATAAGGATAATGACTTGTTCTAAAACTGTTTCCACCCATCCATTTAATTAAACTAAGATCTTTGACAATCATGGAGAGATCCCAACCTTTACCTCGAATCTAAAAAAAAAAATTTAAACACTGAAGAGCACAATAGATTTAATTAAGTCAAATAGATTTAAGCAACAAATACTTAATACTTCTTTTCCTAATTTTCCACAGAAAATTTGTTATAAAACCATTATCATTATTTTTATATCATTAACTTACATTTGAATCCTCGTGCATTCCAAATCCTTTAAAATAAAATGGCTTTTTGTTAATATAAAAGTTCTTGTTATCAGTTTGAACAGTTCGAAATCCAAATGGTAATCGATAAATATCAGATTGATTGCCAGCACCCAAGAGTGAAATCTAAAAGAAACCACCATTTTTAACTTTTAAATGTGTTTAAAAACTTGGAGAAAAATTTAAAAATCAAACTAAAATTTTCAAAATTGAAAAATAAAATATAATTTATCAGATTTTATTTTTTAAGTTGGGATCTTATTCATCAACTAAATAACCTAAATTTTTAATACCACTGCTATTTTGGAACTGATGAAGGCTGTGCACAGAGAAACTAGTTAAGTGTGGTATTACCAAGAAAATGGTGGGGATTAAATTCAATACATCTTCCTTACAAAGCAAGTACCATTTTTTTATAATAATAACATTATATTATTCCATTATACTATTACTGAAAAGGTTATTAAACGTGTAAGATTTTCTTATTATGTCAGACAGCACAAAGCATCACTAAAATTTTTAAATAAAACTCACTTTAAAGTGCCACCCACTCAACACTCTGGGAATGTAATTTATAAAAAAATTTATTGAGACATGACAAAAATATTTATTGAGATATATTTATATATACATATCTCAATAAATTTAACTAAGAAAATGTTTTATTTATGATAATGGGTCAAAAATGATATGGGCTAAGAGATATTTAGTAAAGAAAATAACATTATTTAAATAATTTTAAATTAGTTTAGGTAATATTAATTTTATAAAATTTTATTTAAAAATAATACCTTAAGTGTATACATGTAACCTGGAAACTCATCCATTCCTATAGGCCACCATAAGTTTGCTTTACTGAGTGAAATGCTACCATTAAACAAATTGTTTCCCTTTTTAACTGAGAATAAAAGTATTAATAAAGCATTAATAAAAAAATAATTTTATATTAAATAAATTTATTAAACAAATGAAAAAATTAAACATATAAAATAATATCAATACATAAAGTTTAACTAGTTTCTTAAATTAGACTTAATGGTTTTTAATTAAAGTCTACTTGGTTTTGACTTTTTTAAACACAAAGAGCAACTTTTTACCCAAATATTTTATGTCAAAAAGTAAAAAAAAAATTATTTACATATTTATAAACATGAAATAAACTTCACAGTAATTAATCAATCTCATATATTGAAACCTGCTTTTGTGTTTCCAGCATCATCAATAATCTCATATGTCATATAAACAGATTCCTCTGTATCTCTCTTTTGGTCATCATCTTCAACAACAGCAACACTGCTCTTGAAGTTTAAGATTCCAGTTTCATCATCTATATCAGTAGTAACGGATACATCAAGTAAAAAAATAGTGGGTGTTACATACAACTTCACAGGTCGATGAATCCCAGCATAATTAAAAAAATCCATTTGTAAAACTTGAACAAAATAGCCAGGTGGATATTTTCTAAATTTTACATTTATATTTTTATAAATTTATATGTAAATTATTTATTATATGTAAATTTGTAAATAATTTACATAAATTTGTATATAACTTACATAAATTTGTATACAATTTACATAAATTTGTATATAATTTACATAGATTTGTATATAATTTACATAAATTTGTATATAATTTACATAAATTTGTATATAATTTACATAAATTTGTATATAATTTATATAAATAAATTATATTTATACTAAGTATACTATTTTTACTTTTTTTTTTATAAATATATGAAATTTTTACAAAAATGCAAAAAATATACACTTAAAAAATATATATAGACTTATTTAAAATTAATTTTTGCAATTGTTACCTTTTTGTTACAAGTTGTTACAATGTAAAAGAATGTATAAATATTGATCATTGTTAAACATGAATGAAAAAAACTGATACCTAGTTGAACTGTTTTGCATGTATTCTATTGAACCTGGTGGCAAAGTAAAAGGAGTTAATGTATTGTTAGCAGCAACAGTAATTCGATTTTCTTCACCAAACTTCAAGTTACTAGTAACTTCTGCTTCAAATGGGAGATGACCACCTTGGTGGTGCATTACAGCTTCTCCATTTACCCA